CAATCACACTAATTACGTGATCTATTAAATTTTTTCTCAAGCCGTTTTCGTTGGACCATTACTCTCCGAATTTCAGGAGTCATAAACTTCGATTCTGCTGAAGATCGTCGTTTGAAAGTTCGCATTGGTGCGTGATCATCTAACACCTGGTTGTATAACGTCTCCCAGCACCAGTAAACATCATCTATATCATCAAAAACGTATGCAGCATGAAAAGGAACTCGACTGAGAACTTTCTGAAAATCATCCCGGTTAAAGGTCTTGAATATCCGTTTCTTGACGACTTCGGCGTTAGCATGTAACATTTTAGTTTTGAGAACCGTGTAAACTAGCAGATGAGTACTGATTCCTGTTTCGATAGCGCCAGACGATTTCATAAACATGGGCACATTTGAAAGAATGACGTCCAGGCAAGAAGCTCTAGTTGTTGAATTTCTAGTCGGTTCTTTAATAAATGTGTCGAGGTCATAGATATCGCATATATCCGAAAGGCATTTGCCCTGGTTATTATTCATAAACGGATGAATTATGTCAAAATTTAGATCGCCAAGACAAATCACGTTTACGCAGAGAGATGTCGCTTGATCCAGGACTGAAGTCAATTCAGTTCTGAAAGTAGCATTGTTAACAGAAGGAGGCTTGTAGGCACTGACTAAAGCGAAGCGTCTTTGTCCGATGTGTAGGTCGAATAAGAGTGATTCCACTGATGTTGTAATGCTTTTCTTACTTGTTGCGGCGATGTTATCGCGAATAAAGACGGCAAGACCTTTCGTCCTGTCACGGCCAAATAACTTGTACCCGTTAACATGAAATTGAGAGTTAGGAAAGGATCGATCGATCTTAGTTTCCTGTATGGATAGAATGTCGAAGGCTCTGTTCGGTAGCCACTCCTTGATCTCCTCAAATTTGCTAGGTAAACTGTTGACATTTAGGTTTGCTATAATGTATTCCTTGCGATTTTCGTTTCTAATTAACTTCATGTCCGAAGGTTGGGAACTAAGGTCCAGCTCAGTGTCACACGCATGCGTGGAACTATTCAAGGTGGAAAAGAATGAATCGCTAAACTTCGGCAAGGCACAGAAGGAGCATATCCAGTCAACAGATGGATTATTAAGATAGTACTGAAGGGTCCAGTTCGACATATTCAGACATCTTGCATGCGACCAGGTGTTGCACTCAGAACATAATATGGCGTCTTGATTGCTTCTTACGGATTTAGAACATTCCCCACAAGGATATTTCGTAGACTTCCTTCTCGGACTAGAGTTAGGTGAAACATCTCCAGAAATCAACAATCTCTGCGCTTGAAATGTACCTACACCAGTAGCAGTGTATAATAATCTTCCTTCATTAAAACGCCTCGATGCGAGCTTAAAAGGTGGTTTGTGGTAAGTACTTGACGTTGTTAAGTGGAGTGGAATAAACAGTCGCGTACAGCGTTCGGGATGCATAAAACTGCAGTTTGATAACTCATGAACTTCTCGTAGAAGTGCGACAAGGAATAAAAGACACAATAGTGTGCCGCCCATACGGAGGTGTCTAACCGCCAAGATGACTGTTGATGACACGTGTGGCTATTCACTGCGTACTGGAGGACAATTACTGCGTACAAAGGAATTTTGTGGAAGTGGGCTTCGTTAACAATTTCAACCAGAATATCGACAAAATCGAAAAAAAATATTAGATATGACAGATCAGTCGTCTCACTCCCAAAAGCAATTAAACGATCTTTACTTACAACGTTTCCGCTGTTTTTTCTACTATCTTTACTGTAGGCGGTAGCCATGATTCCGGCGCATTCCTCAGCGTATACTGGTTTGGAGCCATCTTGGTTCACACCAGTGATAGCGATGGTGTAAATACTATTCACATAACCATTGTATGCGCAGCTATCTAAACGGCCACCATTTCCAACTGCAAACGTGTAGATGGCACCCAAACCACCACGACCCTTTGAAAAAAAAAAAAGTCTGGATGAGTGTGACCCGAATTTAGTAAAGAGGTCCAGGCATTTTGAGAGAGCTCCCGGTCGCATCAGTGAGCTCTGAAGAGCCTCGGATCATTGACGGTTTGCCAACATACTTAGCCTGTAAAGCTAAGGTTTGACAGCTGCTGCACGTAGCAGTTTTAAAATTCGCGGCAACTATGAATAATTTTACAGGCGGATGAATATTGCTCAGTTTGAGAGCTGTATTATTATTATTCATGGCTGGGCTGAAGACAATGGCTCGCTCCCTCAAAACGCGCCATTTTTTAACGCAATTTCGACTAAAAATTTTCAAACTGAAATGGATAAATACGGTGGCTCATGAGTGCCATGCAAAAATTGTGATGTTTTCATCGTTTGAGCGAATTTTTGAGCGATTTTTTGAGCGACTTTTCTAAGCGACTATTTCTCGCGACTTTTTTTTGCGACTTTCTTTAGCGACTTCTTTTTTAGCGACCGTCGTAATACAGGCTCAAGTTACTTGTCAACAGAAGATGGTCGCATTAAAATTTGATGACGAATAATAGTGATGTCCACCCCTCAAGGCGAGTCTCGGGAAAGAAAGACTTTCTTTCCAGGGACTCGCACGTTGATTGGGAAGAAACTAATACGCCACTACTAACACTCTACGTGTTCAGAAACAGACATAGATAATAAAAGGTCTTTGAGAGAAAAGACAGAGTTCCAGTCAACTTTAAAGATAAACAACATCAACATAGGGGCTTTTGAACAGAGTACTAAACAACCTGACGGACTGACGTCTGATTCCTTGTGGAGAATACATTTTTTGTCCCATACTGATGACAACATAAAAAAACAACTATGTCTACATGAACATACATGTATATCATGTTGATCGGTATATCAAATCACCACTGTCATATTGAAATTTAACTAAATGGAGATAAAAGCTGTAGTTTTTTCCCTGAACATGCTGAAGCTGCGGCCTTATTTTTCTAGAACTCCTTGCTTGCCATGGTCACTTGTTAATTAAAAATATGCAACTGTATTAATCAAATGACATATTCAAACACAAAGGAATTTGCTGCATTCTTGTGTTTCAGTTATGAGGATTTTTATGAGAGTAATTCAATTTTTCAGTGAATCTCAGCTGTGGACATGTACTTACATGCATGCTGGCCTACACCACGAAGTTCTTATTCACATAAAGAAAGTATTCATAACTCCCATAAATAAAAAAGGTACGAAGTATTAAAACAGACCCTGTCTATTCCATATTCCATAGCTTTGATTGTCAAAAGCCCAGGACCCTTGATTTCAAACCCTCTGCTTTCGGGTCCCCAGCTGTTGGAGTAAATGTCAACACTTCCTTGTTCATGCACTAATGCCTTGGCCTCAAGTGCATCAGTTGTTGTTTCTCCAGGACCAAAGAGGCGAACACCTGAGTGAGGAGGTACGAGAGAGATTGACAATCAGTTTTACAGATTTCTTTGCTCTTAACGCGTAAATTAATTAACATGGTTGGAAAACAATGAGAGCATAAAATTGAAAACCATCTTTTTTTTACTATTCCACCCTTTAAAGTATATTGAAATAATTCAAAACTATTCACCAAAGTGCAGGTGACTGGAGGTAGATATTTACATAGCAGTGAAGCAGTAAAGTAAATATCTACCAGTAGCCTGCACGTAACACTGAGGTGAGAAGTTCTTTTAGTTGATGTAAATACTAAAAAAGTGAGATAATAAAGCACGAATAGATGATTCTAACTCGAATATTTCAGCAACAATTACAATATTTTGGGGTGCAACTTGCTTAGAGGTGCATAGCAAAGGATATTAGGAGTTTTCAGAGGCCTGCAATCAGGGCACACCTTCAATGCATCTCCAGCTATTTTGGTACAAACTAATTTTTTTTATCCTTATACTAACACAACGATCCAGTGGAATTCAAACAGTACTAATCTGATAGCCTCAGACTTAAACTGCTTGTGAATATGTGATGCAATGCATGCGATAATTCTTGAAAGAATTAGTCTGTCAACCTTTGGTAAATGTCTACTACCCCTAATTTCCATAAATATAATTTTGAAAATTCAGTGTTAACCTTACAATGGAATACCTGCAATTTTAGCATTGTATGCCAATCCCACCCCACAAAGTTTATTTGCTACTCCAGCTATGATTCCAGCACAGCGGTTACCATGACTTTGGAGAAATACAAATTAGTATCTGTGATTGTTAATAGGTTAACTGTGAAATTTGACATTCAAATTGACAAAGACATTTTTCCAATGAAAGGAAAAACATTTGTATGACAACCTTTACTGAGAATATGATACAATTCAGACTAAAATGTATCAATTTTTCCTGGTGGTGCTCCTATTTCATTTTTCTTTGTTAAAACTTATTGACAAAAATACCATGACAAAACAAAAAAGGAAAATAGAATTTGAACCAGAGATAAAATTGAAAACATCATTTAATGTAAAGCCTGACCTTTTTCAAAGTCAAAATAACTCAGGGCATATACACTGAACTTAAGAGCTTGCAGGCAGGCGAGACACAAGATTGCAAACCTAAAATGCCACATTAACTGTTACAAAATCAAATTGAGCTAATGTGTGTGCTTCTGTTGCAATTCTAACCCCAAATTATCACAACTAATTCACAAGGAAATGTCAGTTTAGCAGGTTGAGAGGAGAAATATCAATCAGATCTTGGGAGTTCAAGGGTTAACATGCAACTGAGCTTCCAAAAAAAAAAAAAAAGAAAAAGAAAAGAACAAATTTATGAATCCAAACTAATTTAATATAGCACTTGGACATTCAGGGGTAAAGAAGCATGATCTCCTACCCTGGTACTTTATTCCCAAATTGAGCTGGTTTTGAATCCAAATAATCATAACTTGCTTTTAAATTCTAAAATAGGTTTTAGAAAACAATAAAATTGTAAATATTTCATATATCTATACCATGTCCATATCTATATACAAATACTGTACTACACACATATATACATACACAATGTACATATTAGATACAACTGCAAATTTAAATTACAATGAATACAAAAATTCTACAAGTAACAACAAATTATACACATGTACATATATATTTATAGATATCAAGCAAGTAATAAATGAGGTTGAGCATGATATCTTGAATTATCACAACCAGGGACTGATCATTATCCTTCGTGGCAGAAAGCTCAGGTAGACACACTCTGACACTTAGACTGTCAGAGTGTGTCTACCGGAGCTTTTGATAGTTCATGATATCTTGCAAAAACCGAACTCAATATTCATTGATTATACATTTTTAAAACTATCTGCAAAGGTAAACTTTTCTCTCTGGGTTTGCAAAACTTTGTGAACACTCTATGGACAAGGGGCTTGGAAACATGGCAATTAACATCCTGATAACTGCAATATCTGCTGCAGCGGATATCATGACATCTTCACACCCCATTGTGGCTTGAGTCAGGTAAAAATGCTAAGAAGTTTTTCAATCAATTAGTTAGCATTCCTATTTCAATCAAAATCATGATAGAAAGGAATTAATTAAGAAATACATAGTTTTCACGCAGATCAGGATGGCTGCCATCAATACCATCATCAACCACTGCCACTAGTATTCCTTTTCCTGTATAACCTGCTTTCCAAACAGGGATGATATTGTATGTTGGCGCCAAAGAACTCTTAGGTCTCTCCTAAATAAAGGTACACACCATTAATAGGAGAATGCATTTTCACTTACTTGTCCACTAAGGGCAAGTTGGTACATTGGTTGGACTATATGATAGAGTGTGCATTGGCATGGTCGCACTTAAGTCTTCTGACAATCAAATTTGGCATTCTGAAAGTTGCTGTCAAGCTACATGTATATTTTACTGTTTAGGAAACTTGACAATGTTTAATTAAGAGGTGAGGTTGAAGAAAAGAAGTGAGGTTTGAAGAAAAGAAAAGAAGTTTGAAGAAAAGGGTGAGGTTGGACAAAAAGGGCAAGGTTTGAAGAAAAAGCCATGTGAAGGCACTAACATGTATATAGCACAAACAAATTTAA